AATGAAAATCTATTAAAAAAAGAATTAAAATCTATATAGACATAAAATAAAATAAAAAAAAAGACAACAAACACACTAAATAACTAAAACTTGTAAGTAAAATCACAACAAAAGTAAAGAATAATTAAGTGAAATAGTTTCTTAATAATACTAAAACAACACTGTATTTCAGCTAATATTGCATATTTTAGTTGTCAGGCTGATTCTGCCATAGCAGTTTTTTATCAGTATGAATCTAAAAAACATTGTATTTTAAGCTAAGGAATCTTGTTAGATGCTAATGATTACATGCTAACACACACATTGCTCGTACAAAGAGACACAATTGTGTGATGCTGAATGTCCAACACTGGCGTAGTTTCTTAATCATCAGTGAAGTACGTACTGTACTTATAGAAAAGCATGTGAGCCGGGAAGCAACCGTAGACTCGATTTAACCAAACAAGTGTTTCTCATGATAGTTCTGGCTCTAAATCTTGCTGCGTTTCAAGCCGTTGTACAGCATGTGGATAAATGTATAAACATAAACCTGTATGGTATATTAATACCCGAGCACACTAATGCACTTGATTGTTTGTGGTACTATATAAGCACTCAAGGCTTCAGTGGAAACACTCCTTACACACAAGTGTTTGGATAGCAGCTGATTCAGTGGCTCAATATTGAACGTATATGATCCTTCATGATGAGACTCTCTCTCTCTCTCTCTCTCTCTCTCTCTCTCTCTCTCTCTCTCTCTCTCTCTCTCTCTTTATTTGTCGTTCTGAAGGAGACACTCATGTGGTGAAACTCTACTTGAAATCGAGGGAAACGGGGCAGAAATTTGCCAGTGTGGACTTCACCTTCTACAACTGCAGCATCCACAGATCGTGAGTCCATTCTTCCTCTCGCTCTTTATCTCTGCTCTTCTCGTTTTACCCACTGGGGGGGGGGGGTCATATTTCTGTTGCCGTGGCAACCCGGTGCCGTGTTGATTGACAGTTATTCTCTTGAAAACAGACTGTGGTCACAATCCTACAGATAGTGGGACCCCCAGCTGAACATCTCAATGAATACACTGCACTGTGTGTGGGTGTGTGGGTGTGGGTGCGCGCTTCTAAGATGCTCCAGATGGGTTCAGACTCTTTTGGGAGGTCTGTGTAGTGTCTTATTGCAGGACAGATGAGCCAAAGCTGTCTCCAGAGATATAACGCAAACACACACACACACCTCAGAGTAACAGCATCTCAGATACACAATAGCTTCCATTACACTCACACACACTGACACACACACACACACACACACACACCATCAGCAGTGAGCTTTAAACTAGGTCACACGGCTCTTTCCTGATAAGACCAGCCTGTGCACTTGTACACACTACATATGAGTATTATCATAATTGGATAATCACATGCTTCTTTATTCAATACGTCCACATCTCGAAAAGCACAACAGCCATTAGAGGGTTTTATTTTCGGCAATAAAGTGTTTTTATGGACATTGTAGAGGCTTTGTGTAGATGATAAAAAATAAAGCAATAGGAAGTGTGTAAATTTCACAAAACCGTCGAGATCATTTCCAGGTCATATTTCACCTCCTAATCAGAAGAAAGAAAGAGGGGGATTTATTTTGCCAAAAGAAAAACAGCCTATTTATTCCATAGCAGTTGAAACAATTAATTTTGCACCCTCAAATATTATAATTTAGTAGTATAGTAAAAAAAAAAAAAAAAAAAAAACATACTGCCTTTTCTATAGGAAATGTATAGTTATATTATATTATTAATATATTTAAATATTTTTATATAGTTTATTATTATTATTATTATCATAGAAATATGATTTATATTTTATGTAAAGCAAACATCAAAGTTTTACTATGACAATCATTTGAGAATCACTATTGGTTATATATATATAATATATATATATATATATATATATATATATTTACATTCTTTCTTGCCCATAAAAAATAATTAGACAAGAAATAAAGTAATTATACAAAACTCAAAAGTTAAATGTTGCATTATGATAATAAATTTTTTTGATGTGCTTAATTTCCATGAAAATAATCAAATTGCAATGTAAAACATGTAAATGGTTTTAAAAATAATTTTCTTTATGCAAAATACAGTTTCTAATCTCTTTTCTTTTTGAGGAGAAATATGAGCTGGACGTTTCTCAGTGAGATTCACCCAGTGTGTCTGAGATGAGGCGTTCGGCTTCAGAACAGCCCAGCATCTTAATGTGAGAGGAGGAAATGAGTGTTAGGTTTCCGCCTGTGTGTGTGTGTGTGTGTGTGCGCGGGGGTTTATGTTGATCAGCGACCCGTCGGTGGGGGAAGAGAGCTCAGCGTGAGGGGCTTAAACCCGGAGACACCCTGAACCCCCCCCACTCCAGACGGCACGCGGATTAAACTCTCCCTCGGGATTGGTGCAGGGGTCAGGAAGAAAAAAAAAGGGCACATTTATTATCTTCATACCACTTATTTTAAGAAATCTCTGCTTTAAGTGAACCAGGTTAAATTTTACAGTTGGTGATAATGGATTGGTGGAAACATTGATGTAAAAGAATAGCAAATGGTCAGGATAGATGGAAAATTTAATGAAATGAGTTTAATGAAACTGATGGATGGACGAACATATGTTGAACTGTTTTGAGGCTCTGGGTCATGTCTAATATTCACAACCTATTAGTTCTGGAGCTTTTATAAAATTATCTATTGGAAATGTTTTGGAAAGGCATAATTTTAGTGTTCTTGTGGTTAAACAATCAATATGACTGCAATCATTATAACCCACATTTTGGGGTACACTTGATATTTGAAGACTTCAGTTTAAAAGAGGCCATATTATGCCCCTTTTCAAATTCTTGATTTTGTGCTAGAACAGGTTTTTCCTGCTTGAATGTTGATTATTTCCTCATATTTTACATTGTTGCGGCTCCTCTTTTCCCAGTCTGTCAGTAACGCTCTGTTTAGTTCCTGTCTCTATGAAGTCCCTCCTTCTGAAAAGCACACTGTGCTCTGATTGGTCGGCTGGATCAGTGTGTTGTGATTGGTAGAGCGCTTCGAGTGTGTTTGGGAAATGTCCCGCTCTTACCATAACTGCCAGTTTAACACACTACTAACTAACTCAACCAGGCCCGCCCTTTTATTCTGCGTATGAATTATTTAAATGAGGAATATTGTGACGTGTTCGTTCCTGAAAGAAACTCAAGACTACAATGGAGGCGTTTCAGGAGTTCAGAAACACTGATATAGAGAAGAGCTTTTTCATGCTCAAACAGCAACATTACACACTAAAGAAAGATGAACAAAAGCATAATAGGTCCTCATTACACTGTAATTAACCCATTACAGTCAGTACACAGTACAGTATGTTGAACATGCACATCTGTCCCTTAAGGAATATTTTATTCGTCTGTCCTGACTGAAGAATACTACACTGTGACATTTAAAGATATTCAGTCTTTACAGTCTTTATGTGTGTGTGTTCTTGCATATCTCAGACATGTTGTGTTTTCACCTGCATCCATTTGTTCTCCATCACGGCCACCCTCTCGATTTATTCACGCTGATTAGCAGATTATACGTCTCTGGAGATGCAGCATTAACAAACTGACAAATGGCGTCTCGATGGGGGATCATTACCTACACAAACACACACACTCTCAACCACATGTGCTTGTGTTTCCTCACGGGACTCAGAGACGCAACAATTACGCACCACAATCCTTTAGCGCTTTTGCTTAAAACATTCACAATGCTGAATGATTTAGATTTTTAAAGAAATTCATTTTTTGTTAACCGATAGTATCTCTCTCTCTCTCTCTCTCTCTCTCTCTCTCTCTCTCTCTCTCTCTCTCTCTCTCCTCTCTCTCTCTCTCTCTCTCTCTCTCTCTCTCTCTCTATATATATATATATATTATATATATATATATATATATATATATATATATATATATATATATGTGTGTGTATATAAGCATACGTTCATAAGTGTGTGTATATATGTATGTATATATATATATATATATATATGTGTGTGTCTGTGTGTGTATGTATATACTGTATATATAATATATACATATAATATATAATAATATACAATGTTTTTTCTGATTTATCTGATAACACCATCAGGTTAAAACCATTGTGAATGCTGCTCTCTTTAAGATACCAGATTTCATTAAGCAATCATTTCTCAACTCTGATTGGACCGCTGCTCTCAACGCTGCAGCTGATTGGTCAATTCGACCCAGTGCTTGAAACCATTCTGAGGTCAGAGCTCTTTGTCCTAAAGCATCAATTAATGTCACTGAGTGGACAAATTGCTGGACTTAATACTGAATAATTGAAACAAATGACTTGCAGAATTGCAGTCAGAATCCTCAGATGGTTTGAGTGTCTGAGAGAGTCAGCTGAGAGACGCTTCAATCTGATTAAAAATGAGCCGTTTCCACTAACGTGTGTGTGTGTGTGGTGTATTTTATGTTGCCATCTACATGTAGTGATTCACATAGTTCATTAGCTTGTATGAACGCAGTGCACTATTTTTTGTCTTTCTCTCTCTCTCTCTTTTCTTATCTACTCTTGTCAAGTTTTAATGGGAAATCCTCTTCTTTTTGATCTCTCTCTCTCTCTCTCTCTCTCTCTCTCTTTATGTCATCACTTTCTTAAACTGGAGACACCTAATAAAGTGGATCTTTGTGAGGGAGTGAGAGATTATTTCACACAGTTTCATGGGCAGAATGAGAGCATGCGAGGTCAGAGCGCAAGGACACACACGGACCGCTGTGGTTCTCGCTGTATAGTGTGTTTTTGGGGTTAATTCTGTGTGTGTGTTCTCTTCCAGGTGCTTGTCCTGTGTGAACGGCTCGTTCCCGTGTCACTGGTGTAAATACAGACATCTGTGCACGCAGAACGCCAAAGACTGCTCCTTCCAGGAGGGACGGGTGAACATGTCAGAGGTGAGAACGCATCACTTCCTAAAATTACTGATCTTTACTAGGGTTGGGTATCGTGTGCATTTTAACGATTCTGATTTGATTCCAATAGGGTAAAAAAAAAACAAAAAAAAACTTGCATATCATTCACATTTTGTCTTATTGCAAAGCATTTAATTGTGTCTGAATATCATGAACAAAAAATCAATAGGCTAAAAAACATTTTCGCAAGGAACGTTTGCCTGTGGTTTAAAAATACCCTAATAAACAACTAGCCTAACTAATATAAATTTCAAGCATTATTAAAGACAAGTAAACACTCAGCAATCCCAACAAATAGACACAACTGAACAAAGATACGACTGAAATAAACAGTGCTTTAAGATTATCAGGTATTCAGGAACAGAAACTGTAATACATTCTAAAATAACACTGCACTTTATAAATAAAATACACATAACAAATATAGTTACAAATGTTATTCAGTCAAGAACGAGTGAATTTCTCTTTCTTTTGTTGTTTGATTAGTGTTATTATAAAGAAGGCAGCAGGAATATTAGGCTGCTGTCACTTTAAGAGTTGCCCAATATACAGGTGAAACTTGAAAAATTAGAATATGGTGCAAAAGTTCATTTATTTCAGTAATTCAACTTAAAAGGTGAAACTAATATATTATATAGACTCATTACATGCAAAGTGAGATATTTCAAGCCTTTATTTGTGATAATTTTGATGATTATGGCTTACAGCTATGAAAACATTTTCACAATTTGGGGTTTTCATAAACTGTAAACCATAATCATCAAAATTATAACAAATAAAGGCTTGAAATCACTTTGCATGTAATGAGTTTATAAAATATATTAGTTTCACCTTTTAAGTTGAATTACTGAAATACTGAAGTTTTGCACGATATTCTAATTTTTCGAGTTTCACCTGTAGTTAGTTACACATGAAACTATATCACGGAAAACAGCGCGCGAGTCGTCTCGCGCTTGAATGGTTTAAAGTCATATATTGAAATGCTCACAAAGGAATTGATAAGAGGAATCGCAAATTTTAATTTTAAAACAAGTATTCGATTTTTGATTCCCAACCCCTACTCATTACTGTTCAAAAGTTTGTGGTCGGTGCGATTTTTTTAAAGTCTCTTCCGCTCACGATGCATCCAATCAAATCTGATGCATAAAATCAAGCCCTGCCCATTTTCCCTTATTAAATATCCCGTTTCAGTTGTAAATGCATCACACTTACAAGTGTTGCACAGTGCAAGTATAATGGGTTGCAAACTGCATTTCACATTGAGTTTAAACATCAAATATGTCCTGATTGACTTGAGATGTCATTGATTTGTTCTCGCTTTCACGGAGTTGACACTGGAAACCTGATGAATCCCGACTGGTTAGGACACTATTCGGCGTGTTTATCTCTCTCCTCCTCCTCCTACGTGTCCATCCTCAGATTTTCACTCACGAGAAACTCGATCTGTTACTGAACCGAGCGAGATAAGACGAGAGAGTCCGGTCATCATGCTCACTCATTGGCTGATGCAAGTCCGTTGGGAATCTCCCATGATTCTGTGTTTTAAAAGCCTGTATGCACTGGTTTCCTCTAATACACTCCAGATGTGTGAGTGAAGCGAGGGAGTGAGAAAGTCCTGGCACTAACGTGGGAGATTACATTATAGATGTGACGCCATGTCCTTCACAAACGCTGTACGGAGAGCGAGACAGGAGCAGGGAAGCAGGGAAGCAGGGAAGAACCGTAATGAGGAGAGGTGGAAAATAAAGCGAGGGCTCGGGAAGGAAAGGCGTTGGCGTGTGTAACCGGGTCTGTCTCTGCCAGCTGGACTGTTATTGTAGTTTCTCTCGTAGCAGCTGAAAGCACACGAGCATCACACGCGTCAAATAAGGTTCTAGAAGGTTCCACAGTCTCTCAGAACCCGGATGACAGATTCCAGCCAGGGTGATCATTAAAGAGACCCTTTTACTAAGTCTTGATGTTGTTTTTGTCTCTACTAGAACAGGTTTTCCTGCTTGAATGTTGATTATTTTCCTCTCTTCCCAGTCTGTCAGTAACGCCTTGTTTAGTTCCTGTGTCTATGAAGCCCCTCCTCCTGAAAGGCACAATGTGCTCTGATTGGTCGGTTGGACAAATAGTTTTCTTCCGGGAACGAACATATCACAATATTCCTCATTTAAAGGTCCCATATTGTACAACTTTCTGAAGTTTTATTTTACGTTTTGATGTCCTTAAAGGGATAGTACACCTCAAAATGAAAATTCTGTCAGTAATTACTCACCCTCATGTTGTTCCAACCCCCAAAACTGGCCGGCCCAAAAGTTATTAAAGACATCGTTAAAATAGTCCGAGTGACTACAGTGGCTCAATTTAAGTTTATCAAGTGACGAGAATACTTTTTGTGCGCAAAAAACAAACAAAAATAACGACTTTATTCAACTATTCATTTCCTTCTCTGTGGGACTCGAGATTTCAGGTAACTGCGCAAAGCTTCTAGGTTGTACGTCACACGCATCACACACTTGACCAGCGTCGGCCAATAGTGAGCTTGTGTGTGACGTACAACACAGAACCGTTGCGCTCGGACTATTTTAATGATGTCTTTAATAACTTTTTATCGTTTCGATCCCTTAAGAAGCCTATGGAGGAGTGATCCAGCTCTCAGATTTAATCAAAAATATCTTAATTTGTGTCGTGAAGATGAATGAAAGTCTTACGGGGTTGAACAACATGAGGGTGAGTAATTACTGACAGCATTTTCATTTTGGGGTGAACTATCCCTTTAAGAATATACATTTGACCATATATATAAAACCATCTCAATGTATTTTTACAGCTCCTTTCTCAGGAGCTCTGCCAAGAACAGGTCGATTTTGGCCTGTCTACTTAATATTCATGAGCATCACAATATTCCTCATTTAAATAATTCATACGCAGAATAAAGGGGCGGGGCCTGGTTGAGTTAGTCAGTAGTGTGTTAAACTGGCGGTTATGGTAAGAGTGAGACATTTCCCACACACGCTCGAAGCGCTCGACCAATCACAACACACTGTCAGTGTCACATGATCCTTCCATTATAATAGGCTAATTAAATGATTTTATTTACCTTCCAAAGCCATGTTTGACTCTTTTCACTTAACTTTGCACACGCATTTGTGTCTTCGGCACTGTGTTGTAGTTTGATACTTGTTTTGAGCAGAGCGTTTGTTCATCATGTGAGTAAAAGTAAAAGCAAGAATATATCAGCGGAGGCTTTGAGTCGGAGAAGATTTGAATCAGTGCAGCAGAAAGAGTCTGCGCTTCATTTTTAACACATGATTTGCTCTTACGGTGTCTGTTCCCTCACTTTTCCTGTCACGTCGCGCCGATATTCCTCGCGTAGGACTCTTTCCCTCTTCCGACCTCTTCTTGGGAGTGAGCGAACAACTAGACGACAAGTGACAGCTGGTTTAACTCGCGATGATAGAAGTGAACATTCATGAGTTGTATCACATACATGCAGTGAAACACGGCAGTCGTCATGACTACAGCACTAATTACAATCCAGAGAGACCTTGAAAACAGGTCACATGGCCTTTGATGTCACCCCTGACCCCATTACCCACAATTCTCTGCTCCAGTCCTGTCTTTTTAGTCTTTGTTCGCCCATTTTTTCTCTCTGCTCTGCTCCTTTCTTCTCGGTTCATATCCGCCACCCTGTTTTATCCCCCCCCCCTCTCTCTCTCTCTCTCTCTCTCTCTCTCTCTCTCTCTGTCTATGTAATATTCATCGCTGGGATGTATTGGGCAGCTGAAGTACAGATATAATCCACTTTGAATAATTAAACCAGAGGAGGAGAAGAGAGAGAGAGAGAAGGAGGTGCAGAGAAATGACTTTATCAGACTGATTACTTCCTCTCTTGTCTTCCCTCTCACTTTATTTGTTCTTGGCGGCCGGCACACATTCTCTCACGCTTTCCCCTCCCTCCATCGCTTTCATATTCATATGCACCTCTTCTTATTGTCGGCGTGTTGTCTCCCCTTCAGCCGGTGAGCTGCTGTCTACCTGGACTGTATTTTTAGGCCTTGTTGGCGCTCCGGATGCGGAGACGGCTCCAGGAGATATGCAGCTGGTCCTGCTGTCTCGTAAGATAACTCGTTTTGGGCGAATCACATTGTATCCTTCACAGAAAAGACTGTACCAGAATGCATTGTGGTGAATCATGAATCAAGTGCGAATGATCATATTCATGAGGTGTGCACTCGAATAACGCCAGTTTCACAATTACCGGTGGGAAATCTGGAGTTGAACAAAATCAAGTGAATCAAGTATTTGTTATTTTAGTGGTATTTACAGTATATACTACTATAGTATTTATTAATATTTTAAATAAGCTTGTATATTATCAATTTTCAGTTAAGTTTTGTTAGCTTTTAATGTTTTGGTGCATTTGTAATTTTTATTGGTATTGGTTTTTCTAATATTTCTGTTTAGTTTAATTTCATTGTCAGTTTTATTATTAATTAATTTTCAAAATTTTTATATTTCTATTTTGTTTTGTGCATAGTAGTTTTAGTTTATAAAACTAATTTAAATATTTCTATTTAGCTTTAATTCATTTATTTCAATTTTAGCTTTGTTTATTAATATTTTAAATTAGTAATTTCATTTTAGTTTGTTTTAGTCATTATGTTTTCATTAGTTTTAGTTCTTTAAATATTTCTATTTTCTATTTCTATTTAATTCATTTTTATTTTAGTTTTAGAACTTGTTTTATTTCCATTAGTTGCCAAGGAGGCAGTATTTCTAAAAAAGAAAAAAAAAACAATATGTTCTCTACGTATAAGTTAGTTTTCCATCTAATATTTATATATATATATATATATATATATTTTTTTTTTTCAGGTTTATTTCAGTTACTGATTTTAATAGCTTTAGTTTTAGTTAAAATTAACAAAACTGATTAGTATTGATCAAATAAATAAGTTGTAATTGTGCATTTCGATGGTACAATTAATTTATTC